CATTCTGAGTTTATGTTTTAATCACAAGCTTGAAACATGCGTGGTTAGGGCGATTTTTTGCTTAGCAAAAGGCTCTATGTTGTTAAAGAGCCTATTTTAATTAATTTTGTGTACTTTGGGTTGTTGCATTGCAGGTCTCCTCTGATTTCAACCCAGATGAACAGATTTCTTCAGTTACCCAAGTAGTACATACGATCTGATCTGTTCACTTCCTTTGCTTTGCTTCTTGTTCTATTTAGATTCTATGCACCTTCTTCTTTGTGTGTATATATATATATGATGAAAAAAATATGGGGTACCATTTTTGGTTCTAATATGTAATTTTTCAGGTGGGTGACTACAAAATCACAAAGAACAGGTTTATGCAAGAATTAGGTGAGCTGATAAATAAGATTCGTCTCTTATAGATATTTTTTGGGTTAATAGCACTTTTGATATGTATATTTTGTCGGTTTAATTTCATTAAATTAATTTTGTCAATTTGATTCTTAAAGTATTCAATTTATGTCACTTTGATCCTTAATCAGACAATTTATCGAATTTTTTGATGAAAGTAACTATGCGTCATTTTTTAAAACAGTATTACATACCCGATTCGTGATTATTTCGTTAAAAATTTACGAGTTTGTCAATGTAGTATTAAAAGTTTATTTTTCAATATTATCCGTCTTTTGGCACCAAGTTTATTATATGATAATAAAGAGTGATAACTCGGCTCCATGGACTTACCCGTACATTATGTATCAAATCCTTGCATTTCTATAGGAAAGTGATCAAACATTTGGTCTGCAGGAACTATGTACCCAACCGCCATTCAAAACGGACACACCTTAGCTCCAACTCCGACTCCGGCTCCGGCCCCTGCACCCTCCCCTCGAAGCGGCGGCGGTTTGGACTGTGGAGGGTTGTGCAAGCAGAGGTGCAGCCTGCACTCGAGGCAGAACGTGTGCACGAGGGCTTGTGGCACATGCTGTGTGAGGTGCAAGTGTGTGCCACCAGGGACCTCTGGCAACAGAGAGGTGTGTGGCAAGTGCTACACTGACATGACCACCCATGGCAACAGGACTAAGTGCCCCTAACTCCCTTGGGACCCAGCCCAATCCTTTTGTCCAATATGTAGCTAATGGGTATTGGAATTATTCAAATGTGATGAATATTAACGTTGGTTGGTTTTGCAGAAGTTTGTATTTGATTTAAGTATGTGTATATGTGTGTGTTAGTATGTTTGTATCAGTGCATAGTACAAGTTTTTAATTATGGTGGTTATTATATGGGACAAAATTAAGAGTTTTCCCCCTTCTCTACAATTAACTTCAATTGCTAAATTAGATTATTATATTAGTATCGTTCACTCGGTGACATTAGAAGCCCCGGAATGGAGAATGAATGAGAACATAAGAATTATAATGATTTATCGGCTGTGAAGTTTGGTTAATTCATTTTAATAGAGTCTGTTGCTTGTGGAGAAATCGTGTATTACTTGGAGAAGAGAATAGTTGGTTACGGTCTTTTTATTATGTCCTTACAGGTGTGAGAGCTTTGGTATTTATAAGAGATGATGTTGTCACCATTAAGTGGTCTCTAGTTTGTTAGGATTTTGTCGAGAATATTTCGGTTATTTGAGTTTTTATTCCTTAGGCCGTTAGAAATTATATTCTTTAAGAGTGACGTGATCTTCTACAATGTGTTGTAATTATAGTATGATATATCTTCCAGCCTGAACATGCGACGAATTTGCATGCCTCTTGCAGAGTCTGTCATCTGTTTGAGTGTATTTTAGGGTGAGCTCTCCTGTTGAGGTCAGCTCTTGTGTACAGTAGATCAATTTTGTTGTCCCGAGCTTGTGATGTTGATCATCTTCGAGGTTGCTACAGGGTGAGTTCGGTTCTCCATGTGGACTTCTTAGGCTAATCCTGAGTTTCTTTCGTTGGGTGGTCTTCGCCATACGACTCCATGATGGTTCAATTACTTATCCGATCACCACTATCAAGTGGTGCTATTTTTTGGATAAACATGTTTGTGGATAAAAAGTAAAAAAACTTCAAAAATTATTTTTCTTAGATTTATTCTGGTAATTAGTCGGGGTGCACGAAAAATGGGGCATTACATTATTTGTTGGCCGGATTTGAAGATGAGAATATGGTGCTTCAGAATAGGATCAACTAAACAGCCACAAACAAATTCGTCAATTCAGTTTGTTTAATATAATTTAAATCTTATAATTTAGTAATAAATGAAAGAAATTTTTAGGTGGCATTTGACCTAATAGAGTTCTTTTGAGAACTTCTTTATTCTTTTTTGCCTTCGATTTCTTCGTGTGGACCAGTGGAGTAGTTGAGTGTGTAGACCAGCTTAGTGGTCTGAAGACCTCACCAACTAGCAGTAAACCTGGCCTTGCTGAAAAAGCCAAGACCTCCGGGGGGTTGTTTGGTAAGTAGAATTGGGGCTTTGAAAGATGGGTTGGAGAAATATAGATTAACTGATACACAAATTTGAAGCCTGAATTACCAACCTCAACTTACTGTTGGCTCGGATCTTAAATCCCAGATCATGGGTTTAATCAAACCCGAGAGGAAGTGAATTTCAAATGAGTGTTCAAGAAACAAAAAAATAATTATACCCCATACATATACAAACATAGGTTTAGATTAGATTGATGAAGGAGAAAAGTAGTCATTTATATACAAATATATTATCATAATAGTAATATATCCGTAGGCATACCAAACATGAATTTGAATTGGATTCACTATTGAATATCATATTTGTAAGAGAGGTTTGAATTTAAAAAAATTTGGAAAAACTAATCTAAATCCTTCCTAAAAATTCATCTGAACAAGCCCTAGGGTGCGGTACTTTTGCGGATAAGAAGGTATTGGAGGGTGGAATAGAGTAAAAGAAAAATTATACCGATGCTTACTTTTTAATATTGTCACTTACTTTTCACCAAAAAAAAAAAAAAGTCTTCCTTATATTACATGTGTCCACTAAAAAAATTATATGACCAATAAAACCGGTTTATATATGAACAAAATAATTATAACTTCAAAAAGTGGTAACCACCCTAAAGGCTACTATACCCTAACTCAAAAAGTTGTAACCCCAAAAAAATTGGAACTTAATTCAAAAAATCATAACATATCCCAAAAAATTTACAGAACAACTACAATATAGAAAAACATATTTTAGTACTGTAGAAGAACTCTAGAGCAAAATATTACTTGGGGTCCACTTATACTATGTTTATTGTGTCATTGTCGGTCCGGCACAAAAACATAAAAATAACACCGATTCAGTGTTACAGTGCAAATATAACAATGTATGAGGGTTTAATTAATACCACCTAGGGGTGGTATAATAAGAAGGTAATAAACCAACGCATGGTATTACAAGGGTAAATTATAACATTATCCCGTTCAATGCTTATGTTTTACGCCAAGGTAAAGGTATTAAAATCAATTAACACTACATGACATCTTTTCTTTTTATTGTGGGGACCATAAAAAATGTAAATTATCATATTATTTTTGTTTAATACCTCATGGTCTAAATAGATGTGAAGCATTCAAGTCAACCTCAAATACAACCATTTCATTTTATAGGACCCACGTGTATTATGAAAAACTTACACAAACATGGCATAGGATGAAAAAAGATAACAAACTAACGTCCATCAAACCTAAGGGGCTGAAAATGGGTTGGAAGGGATATTTCAATCCCACCCAACTAATTCATTGAAAACATGCCCTAATTGGTCTACGGGACTAAGGCCCATGCATGTCAATTTCATACCTCATCCACAAATTAGAAATTAATGAAAGTTGAATTTAATATTATTGGATTCGTGCGATAGACAATTAATTCAATAAATAAAACGGTCTAACATGCATCCAATTAAATACAATAAAGAATTTAAACATAAAATTAACTTGACTCGGTACAAATTCAGGGTATACACGATTGTTAATGGGTCAAATAAATTGAGTAAGTTTTAATACGATGACTCGTTGTTACCTACTTAACTTGTCAAAGTATTCGAACCCAAATAACATATTCTTTGCATATAGCAGTGTGTGTGTGTGTGTTTTCTTNTTTTAATACGATGACTCGTTGTTACCTACTTAACTTGTCAAAGTATTCGAACCCAAATAACATATTCTTTGCATATAGCAGTGTGTGTGTGTGTGTTTTCTTATGGAAGGAATAACTATATGTTAATTTATACATTATATAATATCGGATTAGATAAATTTGTCCATCTCATACCTATCCATCTGGGCTTTATACTAATTATAGTGATAATGTATCTTCATCCTATAGTTGGTTCAAATATTAAAAAATAGTGAGTCATACATTTATCTCATATAATATTTTGTTTGAATGAAGTATTAAATGATGGTATAAATATTAAATTGTTAAAGAACTCTTTAAATAATTATATCCTACAAATTCTTGAGGGTAAAAATATTTTTTGTTAAAACATACCATAATCGGACTATTTAAACCCACTAAATAGGTAAGTTCATTTAACATGCTCTATGTAAGTTTAAAAATATTATTCATTCAGGCCGAGAATAATTTTAGGTGACAACACCGACCCAAAGTCAATATAAGGATATATCATAGCCATCCAAAGTCTTTTCTTTGGTTGACCACGTTACAAGAAAGTAATAATGAGGGGTGATTTAGTAATTTAATCTATTATTTGGTATTTTAAAAATTTTAACTGCAACCCATTTTATATTTTTTAATAATCAATCATTCTTGTTTCTCAAAGAATATATTTTAAACTTGCTTGAGTTAAAATGATCAATAATCAGTACAAGTTTAAACACTAAAAATTAAAAAAAAAAGAAAATTGAAATAAAATGACAAAAATAACCTTTGCGTATGAGAAAAGGCCATGCATGTCTAATCGACCCCTTCAAATTTTTTTGTTTCGAAGGATGGCCTATAAAATGATTCCAACTCTTCCATAAAATGTAGAATTGAAAAACAAAATGGAGAAGAGAGGTCATGTCCTTGTGCTCACATACCCCGCCCAAGGCCACATCAACCCACTCCTCCAATTCGCCAAACGCTTAGCCTCCAAAGGCCTCAAAGCCACTTTCGCCACTACCCATTACACCGTCAACTCCATCCACGCCGACGGCGTAGATGTCCGGCCGATATCCGACGGCTACGACGACGGTGGCTTTAAACATGCCCCAAGCGTTGAAGCCTACCTAGAATCATTCAAAACAGTAGGTTCCAGAACTGTAACCGAGCTCATACTGGAGTTCAAAAATTCACCCTCACCTGTTGACTGCCTTGTGTTTGATTCATTGCTTCCATGGGCACTTGATGTTGCCAGAGAATTGGGGGTTTATGGAGCTGTGTTGCTGACCAATTCAGCTTCGGTATGTTCAATGTACTGGCATATTCATCAGGGTCTTCTGGGTTTGCCGGTGAAGCCGGAAAATCTGCCGGTGGTATTTCCGGGCGTTCCTCCGCTTGGATTTTCCGATATGCCGAGTTTTCTTGCACAGCCTGCGGATCACTCTGCTTATCTGGCGACGATCATGGAGAAAATTGAATGTTTGGATCAGCATGATTGGGTGTTTGTGAACACTTTTGAGGAGTTGGAAAGTGAGGTACGTTCCTTTCATTAATCTTAGGTACACATCACAATTATTTCTTAAATTTTGTTCCATTTTTTAAAATGATTCATGATTTTTGAATTGTCTCAATTAATTTTCTAACTATCAATTTTAATTTTGTATTAATCAAGTCCTTCCATCTATTTCATCCGTTAGAACAACCGGGGCAACTTTTTTTGGCTTGCAGTGAATTCTTGTAAACAGAAGACACCAATAAGCTTTACACGTGTGGTTCAGTGATCAAATCTGTTCTCTATGATAAAAACGTATTAAAAAAAACACGCTTTTATAATAGGAAAATTATTTAAGGTTTTACGCTGAAAGCGTATTTCAAAAAAAAAAATTTATAATTTGATAAATAATTTTGAAACTGCAATATTTTGGTAAAACATTAACAAAAAGACAATAGAAGGAGAATTCTTTGGAATATAATAGGTGTTGAGTTTCTTAAAGGAATATTATGATATTACTGGGTAATATGGGATTTTTCGGATTAGTCAAAGACCGCACAAGGGTACATATGCTTAATGAAAGAGCAAATTATATTGATGTCCCTGAAGATTTAGTGAAATTAAACTTCATTTCTCATGACTTTAGAGATTAAGGAAAACTTTGTAAGTTTTAAGATCGATTTACAGTCAACCTGACTCTGTCAGTTGGCCCTTACACTTAGTTTATTGATTTTTTTTTTTTCAACGCTGCGGTTCAAGGCAGGCCATACATATCGGGGACTAAGGTATCAATTTCTCATGAAGATTAATCTATTTTCATTGATATCTACAAACTCTGCCTAGTTTGGCTGGTCAAAATTGTAAGATTATGTCAGTGAAAATATTGAAAATATAAAGTAATTAAGATGTGAAGATAAGAAATACAATTCTCTCACACGGTAGAATGTATTTTCTCTCAAAATTTGAGGGGTATCACTGTAATTAACTCTTAATGAAAACTTTGGACTTTGGCACGATGGCCAGACATATACCATCATTTTGTACTAGACAATTCTGGATTTTTGATTTTTATGTTGCTCTGATTTCATGTTTTGTGGTAAGCTTGGTCGTGTGTTTGAAACCGAGGGCAATCATTTTTCACAACATACTACCAAGTAATGGAGACTAAACAGTGTGTTTATTTGTTTTTTGTTTTTTTTTTGTTACTTTGACTCATGAAAAGCTAGCAAAGGCCATGTCGGGACTCTGGCCGGTGGAGATGGCTGGTCCGGTGCTGCCATCGGCATACGTAGACGGACAGATTGAGGGAGATACAGAGTACGGAGGCAGTCTGTGGAAGCCAAATGGTGACCAATGCTTAAATTGGCTCGACACCAAGCCACCTAAAACAGTGATTTACGTCTCGTTTGGAAGCATGGCTCAAATTGCAGCCAAACAGGTGGTCGAAATTGCCCGGGCCTTGCAAGGGAGCAACAAACATTTCATATGGGTTGTAAGGGAGTCTGAAAATGATAAGTTGCCCATTGATTTTATAAGCTCCATAGACCAAATTGGGTTGGTTGTGGCATGGTGTAACCAGCTAGAGGTGCTGGCTCATGAAGCTGTGGGGTGTTTCATAACACATTGTGGATGGAACTCGACGTTGGAGGCGTTGAGCCTAGGTGTGCCAATGGTGGCAATGCCACAGTGGAGTGATCAGCCTGCCAATGCCAAGTTTGTGGAGGAAGTGTGGAGGGTGGGAGTGAGAGGGAAGAAGGATGAAGAAGGAATTGTGAGAAGGGAAGAAGTAGAGAGATGCATTAGACTAGTTATGAAGGGAGAAAAAAGTGAGGAGATTTGGAGGAATGCCTCTAAATGGAAAGAAAATGCTAAGAGAGCTGTTAGTAAAGGAGGAAGCTCGGATAAGACCATCAATAAGTTTGTTGAAGTGCTGCTGAAGGGAAAGGGGAAGCAAACTTGATCACGGGTTCTGTTTGATGAAGGCCTTGTGATACGAAGTTAAAATTGGTCAAAAGTAGAATCCATGTATATTTGACGGGGACTTGTTTGATATTATTATTAGGGGTGGTAATTTCTGATATAATACGAAAACACAACTCGAAATTGACACGAAATGAGAGGATTAGGGTAGGTTATTTATCGACGCGAACCTGTATATAGTATGGGCCATTAACATGAATAATAAATAGGCCGAGTCTGTGTCAAACACGAAAAATACGAAATTGATACGATTAACATGTTTAAATAGTATTATAAAAATAAAATGTTAATTTTTTATTATATTTTATCAAGTTGTGATATATTTTACTCATTTTTATTATTATATTTATTAAGTTAGTTTTTGGTTTATAGAAAAAATATGAGCTTAAGTTCAGTTAAATGAAAATAAAATTTTAGACATAAAACTGAGCATCAAATTATTTATTTTATTCATGGTTTATATGAGTCAATAAGAATATGGTACGAAAATAAATAGGTCAACAAGGCACGGCACGACACGATTAATTAAACGGAATGGGTTATGATTAACCAATGTTTGACAAACAATCCAACATGACACAATTGCCACTGCTAATACTATCCCTCTTTGTCCTAAACTAGCATGTTGTTCCAGTTATGCACCTGATCTCTAATTTTCATTTTTTTTCATATAAGCTATACTATTGGAGTCGGAAAATATTTTCTATGAGTTATACACACTAAATAACAATGTCAGGCAACGTGCACACCCGACGAGAATCTGTCAAAACACTTGTTTGTAGAACACATAAGATATTGGGCCAACTCGGCCCACCAGTCAGTAGCCCACGTATCTGTGAGCCTCACCAACTTATGTGTTCATTAATATTCATTAAAATATTAATTTTTTGATTTAAATTAAAATAAACAAAAAACACCATTTTTATTAAGCGTAATTACATTCATTAATATTCATAGTCCACAAGTTGCATAACAAAAAACTTAAAAACAAAATAATAAAATGATTAAAATCCTACACCCCTTTTAATAGTTAACAATCTTGGTCATATCCTAACCATTTCCTAATCATGTAGTATTGGAAAACAAATTTACTATTCAGGATACTACTAATCGTGTCTTACACGTGTCCGGACACTGCCATTGCACCAGTTCGACAAGTATCCGTGCTAACCAGTCTAATGGGTATGTTTAAGACAAGAACGTAAGTCATTATAAGTTTATATATATATATATAATGACTGATTCCAAATTATTACTTGTTTATGGAAATTTGGGAGCCGGCCCACTTTTTTAGACTTATTTCATAAAAAGTTCACTTAAAAACTTTGTTTGAATTTAAGTCAATTTTGATTTCTATTGTCTAACATACTCTTAGCATTTACATTTAATTAAAACAGATTTAAAAATGCAAACTTCTAAATTTGAAAACCAAAAAATTCTAAATTTTAGAGTTTTTTCACATTAAAAATTTAAAACTCATTATGTCTCCCTCTTTCGGATCTATCTATATACACATTTACAAACGTAACAAAATGTAAACTAATTCTAATTCAAAATCCCTTAATTTTAGATCTTTCACACACATACACACACACACACAGTAATATTAAATATTAACATTTTGAAAAATTAACCAAAAAAAGTAGTAACATTCAAAACAAATTATTAACATTTTAGAAAGGGCTAATTGCAATTTGCTCTTTGAAAGATACATAAATTTTTAATTTACACTTTCAAAGACCAGATTTTCAATTTGCACCTCCAATGTGTCAAAAACGATGCAATGTACACTAGTCTCAAACGCCCGTTCACTTTGCCGTCTAAAAACAACACAGACGACTGACACGTGAGTCTTGTAGGGATTGAATTGTAAAAACACCCTCCACCAACCTTTGGTGCCAAATCGACGTTGGCCTACCTTTTTCTTAATATAAGACGAGGTTGACTAATCAAAGGTGGTCTGCTATGTAGAGGAAGACGACAAAGGAAAACTAGAAGGAAAAAGATATCAAAAAAAAATAAAAATTGAAGGGGTTTGCTACTATGGTCGAAGGGCAATAACGAAGACCTCATGGACAGACTTAAACCCTGGAAGAAAGAGGTTTAGGGCTTGCGATCATTATGCGGTATAGCTTCACATTTCATTAGAAATTTAGCAATATTCTTGCAATTGATGAAAGTAGATGTGGTCTGGATGATATTTTCACACACCCATTCTTCACACATTTTGGATTATGCTTATTCTCTTTTAGTTGATTTTTTTAAAATTTATTTTTTTGAATTTTCATTTCATTTTTTAGGAATTTTTTTCTGAAGTTTCTTTATATTTTCACAAAAATCTTGTAATTTAAACAAAGATTTGAATTTTGCACATGTTGGAAGGTGGTCTCATTTTTTGCAAATTGTATTTGTTTTCCCTATTTGATTCCATGTTGTCTCACTACTGCCCTAAACTCAATTGAATTTTTAAATAACATCCCTAGTTTACACTGTGGGTCAACTATATTAGCCTTAGCATTGAAATGTGGGTACTCTACCCTCTAACGCCTTGCTTCATCCCCATCAGATAAGCCACTAAGGCTTCTTTTCTCATTCAACTCACAATCTTCACCTCCTAAACTATAGTCATTGTCCATTCCTGTTGCCCGAGTATTTTGATCCTTTTTTTGTTTGTTATTTTCAACCCTTTTATCTTTGTCACTTTTAACTTTTCCCTTCCCAACAAAGTTTGCATCACCATCAATTGCATTCTCATACGACGGTGAATTCTCCGTATCATATTTATTATCATAAAAAAATTTAGACTCAGAAGATTCACCCTGTAAATATTCTTCATTGTCAGAATCATTCTCATCAGAAGAACTCTTCGACCCNTTAACTTTTCCCTTCCCAACAAAGTTTGCATCACCATCAATTGCATTCTCATACGATGGTGAATTCTCCGTATCATATTTACTATCATAAAAAAATTTAGACTCAGAAGATTCACCCTGTAAATATTCTTCATTGTCTGAATCATTCTCATCAGAAGAACTCTTCTACGCAACCCCATTACCACAATTTGATTCAGCTTGACTAGGATTGAACATACCAACCTTAATGTGTTCCACATATAGATCAACCACTTTCTTCCTATTTGCCCACTTCTCCAGTCCTATAACATGCATGCCGATCATTTGTCCAATACCCTCCACCCCTTATTAACTCTGTGATAGTATTTTGTAATCTCACAGTTTTCCACTCCAATATCTTTCAGCATNCTTCTCCAGTCCTATAACATGCATGCCGATCATTTGTCCAATACCCTCCACCCCTTATTAACTCTGTGATAGTATTTTGTAATCTCACAGTTTCCCACTCCAACATCTTTCAGCGTGTTGTCCAACTCTATCAAAAATATTTGGTCAACACGACACAAATTAAAGTGGGTCAATCTCCCACCAGTGTAGAATTTGCTACCATAACCCTCAAATTTATCACTATGATACTTTTTTGTCGTAAAATAACTTGTGTTAACTTCTACATAAACAAATACGGACACATAAAAAATAATCATTTGAATATACAACACGAGTTTCATGATTTAACCACACGTGAATATAAAAACCACCACACTTGAATATAAAAATCAACCCACACAAATCCCACAGCCTATTGCTGACAAAACAAATGAAACCCTTTGCTTAAAAAAAAAAACAACAGAACACAATCCATTAGGAAAAAAACGAAGAATAAAGCACCAAATACGATAAAGATGCAATGCAAACAAAAAATCAAAGCCCCACACAAAGACAAAGAATAGAGTAATCAAATGACAACCCCCAGCAAACATTAAATCCTAGGCCCACACAAACACAGAGAATATACTATGAATTTGAAAATAACCAAATAAAAAACAAAAAAAGCACATGCATACCATAAAATTGGAACCATCCTATTGCAAACAAAAAAACCCTTACCATCAATTGGAGCATCCTGTTCGGGGGGTATATCTGTTGAAAAATAAAAGCTTTAAAGTTTTTCATTTAATTTATTTTATATGCTTTAATGGATCACTTTTAATTTAGGATTTAATTGAATTTTTATTTAATTTAACTTTTATAATTATTGTATCTAGAATTTTATAGAACATGTTTGCACTTTATATTCTTCTACCAACATCTAGAACCTTCACCTTCACCTTCACCTTCACCTTCTCACCATTAAGTTAGAATTTTTGAACCTTCCAAACCTCCATCTACCTTGATCTTCTAGACCCTTCTCTAATCACCTATAAATAGATCCCCCACCACCCTAAATCACCAACAACGANTTGCACTTTATATTCTTCTACCAACATCTAGAACCTTCACCTTCACCTTCACCTTCTCACCATTAAGTTAGAATTTTTGAACCTTCCAAACCTCCATCTACCTTGATTTTCTAGACCCTTCTCTAATCACCTATAAATAGATCCCCCACCACCCTAAATCACCTATAAATAGATCCCCCACCACCCTAAATCACCAACAACGATTACCATTGCAAGTCTGTTCTTACTTTCTCTTTTATAAGCTTTTGATTGTAAGCTTGTAATCTAGATTTCTCCATAATAATAAAAGCTTTTTTCTTCACCAGTTGTATTTCTCACTGCCCAAGACATTTTGTCGATCTTCAAGGTTTGCAACCTCAATTGTGTTACACAAACAAATGTCAAAGATTAAACTTCAACATTCTTCATCTTGATTCTTCGTCTCCGAGAATGAAAAAGGTTTTATTAGCTGAGTACTTATCGTGTGCTAGGCACATTATAGGGTGGAAGGTGTTTTTTACGATTCAATCCCTACAAGAGTCACGAGCAAGTCGTGTGCGTTTTTAGACGACAAAACAAACGAATGTTTAGAACTAGCGCACATTGGATCGTNTTTATAAGCTTTTGATTGTAAGCTTGTAATCTAGATTTCTCCATAATAATAAAAGCCTTTTTCTTCACCGTTGTATTTCTCACTGCCCAAGACATTTTGTCGATTTTCAAGGTTTGCAACCTCAATTGTGTTACACAAACAAATGTCAAAGATTAAACTTCAACATTCTTCATCTTGATTCTTCATCTCCGAGAATGAAAAAGGTTTTATTAGCTGAGTACTTATCGTGTGCTAGGCACATTATAGGGTGGAAGGTGTTTTTTACAATTCAATCCTTACAAGAGTCACGAGCAAGTCATGTGCGTTTTTAGACAACAAAACAAACGAACGTTTAGAACTAGCGCACATTGGATCATTTTTGATACATTGGGGGTGCAAATTAAGAATTTGAGTCTTTGAAGGTACAAATTAAAATTTTGTTTATCTTTCAAAGGAGAAATTGCAATTAACCCTTCAAAAAATAGTAACATTAAAAAACATAAAAAATAATAACATTAAATACTAACTTAAGTTAATGACATTGACNTTTTGATACATTGGGGGTGCAAATTAAGAATTTGAGTCTTTGAAGGTACAAATTAAAATTTTGTTTATCTTTCAAAGGAGAAATTGCAATTAACCCTTCAAAAAATAGTAACATTAAAAAACACAAAAAATAATAACATTAAATACTAACCTAAGTTAATGACATTGGCAGTAATGTGAAACAATAACATGAACACAGGAGGACGCTAGATATTAAAAATAAAACACACACACATAGGGGAGGCCCCACACTAACAGGGGTCCTAGGCAAAATGTTAAAACGAGGCCCCATTAATATATACTTGAGTAATATATTATTTATAACATTGACCAATTTTATTATTATATTTTTTGCCTTTTAAGATTCAAAAATATTAATCCAGTTTTCATATTAAAATTTTCTAATATAGAATTTCAATAGATAATATAACTACTCTCTTCATTTTTTATGATAACAAAATTGACCATAGATTTGATCATTTTATTATTAGAAATCTTTTTTTTCAAGTAGAATAAACTCTAAATGAAATTATACTCACTATTCAATAAATAATTGAGGTAATTAAAAAAAAATCTAATCATTTTATATATAATTATATTGCTGCTCCCATGTAGAGTTTTTACATACGAAGTTTCTTAAGACTTTTAATCCTAAAAATAAATTAAACTATAAAATAAGTCATGTTTTACAAAAAAGTTCAAGGTTAAGATCATATTTTTTCCAAAACTTTCATTGCATAAAGAATTTAATTTTCTAAAATTAAATTAAGAGTCAAAAATATTTTATCTATTTTTAATACTCTAAACCTATATTGAATAAAGGAACAGTATCATCTATATTTTTTTAAAAAAAATCAGTTGATAATGTTTTTTTTAGTGCTCTATTAGATCACTAGTAATAACCCGTGCCTAAAGACACTTTACAACTGAAAAAACACCGTCACTTTGAAACAATTTTTCTTTCATTTGCTTCAATTAAAGAAATTGAAATCAATCTAGTCTTCACTATTTTTTTAAAAAAAATCGTCATAATTTCCTCTAAAAATAGTAATCTAGAAAAAATCTCGACCTGTATACAAAGATTATATATCTCATAATCATACCCGAATTAACACCATAATATTAACCATTCATGTCATGGTCCATCCTTAAAACAACAATTTAACAACATAACAATTTACCTAGCTATTGGTTAACCCCATTCAAGTTTGAATTGCATATAAGTTTAAATTAATATGGGCTTACTATTTTTCAAATAATTTCAACAAAGTCATCTCCAAAAATTAACAATATAAGATTCTTTGGTTATGAAAAAGAATTACAGTCCAACCATGCATTGATCAAGCTATCAGAACAACAACTTTGTGTGACTTAATCAACCTGAAGACTGGAAAGAAAATGAATTAGTCATATTCGTAGAACACTAAACCAGACAAAAAGAAAAGGAAAAATGGAAGCGTATAAGCTTATGCGAGAAAATAAGCATTGCAAACCCAATAAAGCAAATGCGAGAAAATGGAAGCGTGTAAGCAATTGTCTAAACCCAATAAAACAAATGGAAGCACAAAAATAGAACTAATTTGTAACAGAAAAATTGGGAAAACAAAGCTAAGAGGATTCCTTTCGTGATAGGGGTTCTTTCAACATCAACTCAAAACCACACAAAACAAAAAGTTACAATAAAACTTAAGGACATAATCAATAGTTAATTGAGAAAGTTTCTAAAACCCGTAAACTTTTATAGATTTCAAACAAAATAGATCACATTCAAAGTGGTATGACACTAAAAATAAATAACTTAGCTATTCTTAAAATAAATAAAAAATTACCTCCCGACATGAGAGTGTCGAGTGATCGTGATCACCGCTTGAGTTCAACCATAGCAAACATTTCCTTCAATTTGCATCAAATTGAACCTAATGGCAATAGAAACACACGTTTATCACAAAAATCGACCCATCATTCCACAGAAGAGTTGGAAATTAACCAACCTTTATATACCAATGGAGCAATAACATTCAAACCAATTTAACATTCAAAATACCCAAACTATAACAATCAAACTATAACATTCGAGCTACAACAAAACTTATCAAACTTATTTGAAAAAACACTCAAATGAACACCAAAATTATCAAATCAATTTAGAGCATCCAAATTCCAATTGAAAATTGACAACTTGATATCTCATCAAAAGTATGCATATTAATATGCTGAAACACGTCTATGAACCTATCAATTTCATTAGGCTATTCAAATTAAACAAAAATTCACAGGGGTTCAAATTAAATACTAAAATTCATATTCAAAACCACAAATAATATGTACATCACCAATGCAGATAAAATACTCAGCAAATCAAGCCAAAACTCTCACTTCAGAGCACCAAGGTGGAATAGTTATATAACCCCAGACTGACTCTCAGTATGGAGGAGGCAAACCTGAAAATTATGGAAGAACCATAAATTTAAAAAAACACAAATAAAAGTAGAAACGTATTAGAGTAAAGAAATTGACAACTTCCGACCACTATAGAATGTGTTTGGTTGCTTCATTTACAAAAACTTTTTTAAATGATGGTGTCCTTTAATTCCAAATAAACAAAAAAACTTCATACTAAAAGCTAGATCAGACTTCATAGGTAAATTCAATCTTACACAGTTAAAAAAAATTATGATTCATATATCATATCTCATTTTTTTTCCAATCAACGTGAAAATGAACTCACACTTAGAAGAAGAAACTCCAATTTAGCCCAATACAAAGCTAAAATACTAATGGAATTATATCAGTGCTTTAATGAAATTCGTGAATAGCAGATGGAAGAAACTGTTCGGGAAAAAGAAAATCTCTAATAACCCAGCAAAATAAATTCATTTAAATTATCCAAGAAGTTGGGCAAAGAACATGCGGGTTTTGAAATTCATTTTAATAAAAGATCTCTGATAACCCAGCAAAGCCAGCTTTTGAAATGCAATAAGAGTTTCTCGCAAAGTTATTGGATTTCCAATAAACAAAATCAATTTTTTCTAATCCCATGAATTGTCTATTCTGCAACTTCCTTTTCCATGAAGCAACCAAACACATGATTCATTTGATAAAGAGGAAAAAAAAATGAAAACCCATTAACTTAGGCAAAGAACAACGTGATAATGAACTCAGAAGTGGGTATTTTTTTTTCCACTTAGAAGAAGAAACTCCAATTTAGCCCAATAACAAAGCATACTAATCAAAAAAGGACTGACCCAAAACTTCAACCAACCTCCAAAAATTGAACAGACAAAGAAGAAAGGACTGACCCAAAAGGGTGCTGAGCGAAAGAGTGGGGGAGAAGGAGGTACCTGGGCTGAGCTTGGTGAGATTGGTGAATGGGTGTTGATCGTCGCTGGTGTTGCCGTTGAGCCATGGCAGAGGAGTGAGAGGGGTCTGGGTAGAGGGGTAAGGGGTCTGGGTAGCGTGTGCTGCTGCTGTGGAAAAGGAAGTGACTGGAGGGGGTAGCGTGGCAAAGGAAGTGACTGGAAGGGGTAGCGTGGCAAAGGAAGTGACTGGAAGGGGTAGCGTGTAAGGGGTGGGTTTGATTTGGGCGGGAATTTTGTTTATGTGAGATGAAATGTGAGCCTTTGGATTAAGTTTGAAGAATTGAGATGAAATCTTGGTCATTGAATTAAAATTAGAATAAATCTGAGTCATCCTTGTGCTTTCCCAAATGAATTTAAATTAAATTAAATTTTAAATTGAGAAAAGATTCAAAATTGGTCCTATCTTATTATTATAGATTATGGAATTTAAAACGACATAGAATAAGAGCTCCCCAACAGATTTCTCATGATTCTGAGTCAAACAAAGCACAAAAAAATTAATGACAAAGCTTCACAAAACTTTCAATCAAAGATAAAAAAAAAAAAGAGGAAAAAAAAATCAGAGACAAAGAGGTGGTTTTAGAAAGAGATTAAAAAAATCAGAGACAAAGAAGTAGATTTAGAAAGTACTAGTAACTAATTTCCCATGATCATCGGTCCAAAACAAAGCTGGAAAAAAAAAACAAGGATAATAAAGCTTTACAACAACATTCAATTCAAAGATAGAAAAAACAAATGGAAAAAAAATGAGAGAGAGAGAGAGATTTACAGAGTATTGGCAAGGTGAATATCAACTTCGAGAGCTTTAAGAGAATCTTTCAACGACTTTCCCATGGCCACAATTTTCCTGGAAAATTAACTCCCATTCAACAGAAGAAAAATCCCAGGAAAAAAAAATAAAAAAGTAGAATAAAATCTCCAAGTCGGTGGAAGTATGTAAAGGATTTAGAAACCAAAAGGGTAAAGGATTGATTTTTAACTCTGTAGACTAACAGTCCACCATGAAACAAACTTTCTCTTCTAACAAAGAACACACCTTGATCCAATTTAAATAGAATTACAAATAAAAAATTAGTGGATCATACCAATTCTTGTGTTGTTTGCATCTCAGTCACTTGCACTAAGTATGTTTTTATGCCTTCAGCTTCAAACACGAAGAAATGGTCCCACACCATATCTGATTGCCTTCACAAAATGCAGACAATTGCTAATAACCTTGTTGCTGCAACCAAAGGTTTCTTATCAGGTTCTCATTCTTTATATTCCGCCTAGGGCCAGAGTACATTTTTTTCCGTATCAGTCCAACCACCAATATAAATACTTGAAGCAATAACAGACCTATTGGAAACTCCAGAAATCATACTTTCCGGGAAAAAAAAAAGATCATGATAAAAACAATTTTAATTTAAATCACAACTTAGTTGATTCACACAATTTTAATTTAAGCAGTGATGGCTTATAGTCCTAATCCGAACAATTTAAAAAGGAAAATTAGACCTAAGGGCATGTCCTCTACCCCAAACAAATAAAAAAATATCCAATGCATTTATACAGGAAATTATAGAACATGTCGTATTAATGTCCAAGAAAACTCAAGAAATAAGAAGTGGCACTGCGAAAAAACAGGCCCAAATTAAACTATTAGAAAAATGAGGTGACGGCCTACAGTATTGTCGAGAATTTTCACAATCACATATTAATGACTCGCCGCACTTGATAAAATCATGTCTCAACTATTTATGATCGAAAAATTAAAGCCAATTAGATAAAGATAACCAGCAAAAAAAAAATCAAAATCAAATGCATAAATTCAAAATAAGACAAAATCAAATGCATAATCAAACGCCCAGGTACACCCCATCTCTCTCTCTCTCTCTCTCTCCAACACATACACACACAGTCAAACCCACAAATCCTTGAGTATCCATGTTTCATAGATTAGCGGTCTAGTGGATAGTCAGAGAAAAAACAAAGTTGCTGCCAAAGATGAAAAACAGAGAGAAAAAAGGGTATTGCTGGGAAAAACAGAAGCATCGCAAAACATATGGCTGAAGCGGACGCAGCTCCATTGGCTTTGAAGGCTGATTTTGCATTTAGTATGTGATGTACTGAATTTCTTATCAATTAAAAAAAAATCTAGGCATTCATATGTGATTTATGAACGCAGATTTTTCAGTTGTTGTTTTATGCTTTATTTTGGTTCTACTTACAAAATGTTGGTACCCCATAATACTTACTTAACTATCACTCAAATACATAATCCAAGTACCCGATGTACAAACGAAGCCAGTTTGTTTTCTAACTTAAGGACTTAATTGATCATTGCTTCAAATTCCCAAATTCAATTCTAATAAGCGGGGATGCAAATAACTCATTCATAAGCATTTTGATGTATGTTCACACCTTGTTCACACTGTTCAAGGAATGGTAGGATCAAAGCTCCTACACTCCATTGAAGATTTCTGTACACCATCACAGAAAAAAAACCTTAAAGGACACCCAATCTAAATGTAACCGGAACCAACGTCTTGAATGCGTATTGGATCGGTATCATGCCCGAGAACGTGTTGTTCTCCAAGGACAAAGCTGACAATTTGGGCATGAAACCCATGAACCCGGGTGAGTGAAGAGACCCGATGGGACTAACCCACTGAGGTCCACCACCTTCTGTCCTTAGAGAACTTTCTTCCATTAAAATTCAAAAACCTCGCTGTGTGTGCTGCTGAAAACCCCCATGTTTATGTGCAATGTCATGAAAACCCCCATCAAATTGCTCTTAGCCTGAAAACCCCCATGTTTATGCGCAATGTCATGAAAACCCCCATGTTTCAAAAGTCGGTCATTGGTGAAAGGGATTCGTGTGTGTGAATATGAATGGTGTGTGTGCTGCTAAGCGATTGGAGAGAGAGAGAGGAAGAGAGGGGGAGAGGAAAATACCTGGGCTGAGCTGTCGCTGGTCGCCGCTGGTGTGTGTGCTGCCCCTGAGAACGTTGGTGTGAATGGTGTGTGCTACCACTGAGCCATGGCAGATGAGTGAGAAGGGTCTGGGTAACGGTGTAAGGGTAGCGTGTAAGGGTACCGCTGTGTTGAGCCATGAGCCATGGCAAAGGAGGTGACTGGTGAACAGTGCAAAGGTGGGTAGCGTGTAGGGGTTTGTTTCATTTGGGCGGGATTTATTTTTTATTTGAGATGAAATGTGAACCAACGGATCAAATCAGAAGAATTGAGGTGAAATTTAGGCCTTTGAATTAAAATTAGATTTAATCTGAACCGTTCTTGTGCTTTCCCAAATTAATTAAAATTGAATTAAATTTTTAAACAAAAAAAAATTCAAATTGAATTCTATCTTATTATTATAGATTGAAATCAAACTAATCCATACTATTTTTCAAAAATTTCGATAAAATTTCATCTAAAAGTAAGAGCCGAGAAAAATATAAACATGTCTACGGAACTTACAATCATACATAATAATCTTCATAATACACCGTACCACCAAATAAATTCACATAAATAAGAATCCTTTGGTTTGAACATTCCATATTTTGAAGTATCGGTCAATAATAAAATTGCAACCCTTAGCAATAAAACAAAACCAAAACAGTATGTATGGTAAAGTATCTCAGAGAATCCATCTACCCATAGAGAACTATTGAGTATTTTCAGCCTTCCATGAGTTGGGGAAAACAAAAATCTATAATACATGAAACAATGTGAACCACCGTCAATGGACTCATTAAACATTAATCCAAGCATCAGAATTTTAAGTGAACAAAAAAATTCATATTCAACTAAAACAATTTAAAATAGCAACATAAGCAAACAACAAAAAAGATGGTGTGTTAATTGAGATGAAATTCATGAAAATAAAATTTGAGAAAAATAATAAATTCACTTCATTCATGATACCTTATCTACACCATTCGTAGTGTATATAGAAATTCAATAGTATGTCATAGTCTCTATGTAAATAATCAAACCACAAACCATGCACCAAAGAAACTCATTCCCAACCAATCGATCCACTTCGTGAAAATTTTCAAACAATAAAAATCATAGCCTCTTCAAACTCACCTTATTGCAAGAATTGTGCTGTGCGCGCAATTGAGGTGCATGAGAATTGGTACAAATCTACTTATCATTAAAAAACACAAGAATTTAAAGAAAACACAACTCAATTCATTTATCGAATTCAATAGCATACTCCAATTCTACTTTAACAAAATCATTTATCAACTACCGCGACAACTCAGTAATATCATCAAACAGACTATGTCGCAATGAGTGTGGATCATGGTTTAGAAAGAACTAATTTTCCATAAAACAAAGAAGCCTAGAAAGTAGAAACCGAACCCACCTTCTTCCTCTTCTTTATTAAATTTTTTATATGTATCCTGTTAATTGCAGTGACTGTCAATGTGCCTGCCTACAAAATTAAGGAAACCCATAATTCAGTAAAGATAGCAGGGAGTAAGAGAGTGTCTATAATCGGAAACTCAGACAACTCGATTCCACAAAAAGATTTACCAAAAATATTTGAATACATTAATTTCGAGTTCTTTTCATGCAAGCAATACAACAAACACCTTCTGCACGTGCCTACGCCACTTTCCAAATAACTGTCCACAAATACACCAAAACCACATAATGCCTTCAGACACCTTTTGTGATGATTCTTCAATGTAAATATAATGTTTGGAAGGCCATAAATATAGCTACTGTACCCTAACAGTGCACACAAATTTGGAGCAGCACCATTATTTAGATGTAAATGAAACCCACTCAAGCGTAATAACTAACGTACGTTTCAGCTATCAAATAGATATTGATCAAGCAACGCCTACACAAAGCTCCAAGGGATCCATTGCTCCAAATAACGATAACACAAAAGAGACACATTGCTCCAAATGATGACAATTGAAACACCACATGATATATTTATTTCGCAAATATTCAAGATAAATGTCGTCTCAATCTCTCAATTTCAAACTAAAGCACTAACAGTTCACATGATATATTTAACATGATAAATTTAACAATAGAGTACCTCTCGGAGGCATTTCAACAAACAGTTCAAGTACACTAACTGAAACACCCAAAGTGATCCAATCCAAGAAAATGGATGGGGAATCTGGCGATACCCTATTCATACCATTAGTGTCAAGGATATTGAAGTTTTCTTAGATAATGCTCACAGATTGAACTATATTTTTGTTATGCTACTGGCAGGGTCGTTGGTGGGTCTCCATGGTGGTGGTCGTTGTTCAGGCTAGTAGATAAGAGAGTGAAGAGGGAAAGATAGAGTGGTGAGAGAAAGATAAGATAGAGATTGGGGAAGAGAAAGGGGTTAACAAACGCATGAGAGAGAAGAGATAGGGAGGAGAGAGAACCGAGAGAGAGGGGAATAGAAAGTACCTAACGGCTGGAGATGGTGACCCCGGTAGGTGGCACTGATGGTTTCGGCAGATGACGCTGGTGGTTTCGGCTCTAGTGGGTCTGTCTCTCTTGGTGGCTTACAAAGTGAGAAGAGAGAGAGAGAGGCACTGAGCGAGAGGTAAGAAAGAAGAAGACAGTACGCTTAATTGGGGTTGTGTGTTGGACTGGGGTAGTGTGTGTGTGGGGTTAAAATGGGCGGGAGATGATATTTACGTGGGATGTATTTTGAGCCTTTGGATTAAGTTGAAAGAATTGAGATAAAATTTGGACCTTTAAATTAAAAGTAGATTTAATTTGAGCCGTTCTTATGCTTTTCCAAATAAATTAAAATTGAAATAAATTTTGAAGTGAAAATGGATTCAAAATTGGTCCTATCTTATTATTATAGATTTAACAATTATTTGCACTTTGTGTGTGTGTGAGCGTGCGCGAGGGAGGGAGCGTGTGTCTTGGCCATAAAGAAACACTACTGCATCTAACTATCTGAGGGATTATTAGAATCAGTGGTGCAGTTTCTGGGCCCACATTTTGGTCGTGTTGTAGGGATTATTAAAAGACTTTCGGTATCACACACACGTACACACATTTCCTTATCACACGCACATACACACGAAAACACAAATGATTGTTAATGATCATTTAAGGTAATTTCCAAAAAGTTCGGGCAGACCAAAAAAAAAAAATTCGAAAAGTTTGGGCAAAGTGAAATCTATATATAGAACCATTGGGATAGGTCATTTGGCCATAGCCTCTGCTTTTCGGTGGGAGGTCGGGGGTTCAAAATTCATTCGGTGTAATGGTGTGATTGTTTGGTATGAAAAGACCTCAATTATTTAGACGAATAGTATTTAAGTTTCTGGTGTGTGTCTTGAGGTTTCTGGTGTGTGTCTTGAGTTCTTAACGAAACGCAAATTCTAATTTAAATGGTGTATGAGTTAAAAAAATTGATTTATACTCCGGACTTTATCCTTGGTTCTATTCAAAGTTACGAACCTCAGCGATATAAGCACGCCTCCACTCACTGAGGACTGCCCATAAAATTTTTCCATTTCCAAAAACAAATCTATATATAGAGAGGTGACATGGAATCGTTAAACATTATAAAGTTACCAAAGCATTGAAAAAAAGGAAAGTGTTGTATTATTCTTGAGATTAGGATTGTTACTCGAATGATTTTGAATCGAGTTCGAGCCGAGCTTGAAAAATATGTTTTTTAATCGAGTCTAAAAAATTGTTTAAATTTAACCCGTTTAAAAGACGAGCTGAACTTGAATGAGTTAAAAATAAATCGACCCTGAGTCGAGTTCGAATATTTGTACATAAACGAGACGAAATTATTGAGTTTAAATCGAACTTATAAGACTTATTTTTTAAACAATTCTAAAAACAAGTTTGAGTTCGAATTCGTGTAAAAAATAAATCGAATCTGAACAACCGAACCAAAATCAAATTCAAGCCAACCTCAAATAATCAAATTCAAGCCAACCTCAAATAGCTCGTAACAGTCCCGTGTGAGATGTGTTGTTTTGTGTTGATGTCTCCGAGACATGGTAGAGTCATTGGCCATGGTCTTCCGACTAACGCGGTTTTTTTGAAAAGTAAAAATACGCGGTCTGATGTGCTACATAATACTTACATTCTCTCACGCGCAACTGCAGGAGAGAGAGAGCATACGCACTTGCCAACCAAAGAGGAGGGTTCCAACGCTCATTGAACTATTGAAGTTTAGTGTCAAGTCCTGTCTGAACCATGTCACAGAATAAAGAATTCGGATATAGCTACGTTGGTTCTACTCCTGAACTGTCTGAAGCAAACAAAAGTTCAGAGGATGAGCAAAGAAAAGTTCCTGCTTTTCGAAAGTAAGCACTCAGACATTCCATTCCTCCTCCTTTCAGAATATCTGTACACACACACACACTCATCTATGCATGTAAGTCATCTGAATCGTTAAGATGAACTGGGTTTTGCTGTTTTGTTGATTGGGAATTGTTTTTGGGAAGCTCGTAGGGACTTGTGAGGCTTTGATATCTTTTGGGAATTGATTTTTTTTTTTTTTGTGTTTCTTGTTCTGGGTTTCTCAGGGTGATTAAGAAAGTGATAGAGAAACAGAAGATTCAGAAAGTCATAAAACCAATTTGGCAGCTTCTGGTACGGTAACTTCTGGGTATATTTTGGCTGTAAAGGCACATGAGTTTAAATAATTCTGTATTTCTACAAGCATATTGGTTTTGTCTTTGTGAGTATATATCTCAAAGAAATTTTATGTTTTAGTGTGTGTCTGTAACTACTTGGACATTGCTTGGATGTGCGATTTGGGGTTTCTTATGTTATGTGGTGGGATACGAGAGAATAATGGAGATTTGATTTATCCAATTACAACGTATTAACCGCTAATGCACCTTTCCTTTATCAAATCTCAGGTAGAGACAAGGTCTAATCACGAGGGTAGTCTTTTGTCGTGGTTTTGGATCCTAAGTTTTTATGGATTCCTTCTTTGATATGATTTATCCAAAGCCATAATTTCTTAAATCGAAGAGGTCAAATAATGTTCAGGTTTATGGCACTTAAATTACTTGTAAATATCATTCATCATCTTCTGCCATTACTCTCTCTCTCATATCCTTGCTAAACACCACAGGTGGGTCTTCTCTCCACTCACATCTGATTCACCGTCGGAATCGCTTTACTTGAATTTACATCAATAACAACAATAAATTCCTGCAAATATTGACGTTAATAGTTATAATCTTCTTCTTCTTCTTTTTTTCGAATTTAAAAGAGTCGGTTTTACTTTATTGGGTTTGATTTCCTCAATGGGATATTTGGACGATACAAGTGTGCACAAATAGTCTTGATGCTGTAGATTGTTGTTGAATTGAAGGCCCTAGAATTAGAATGGATAGCGATTGATGTGGGCCATGTTTCCAAGGTTGAATGGCCTTCAACAGGAATAAGATGAGCTGATCAATATGGGTGGATGTTTTTCTTCTTAAATGCACATTTTCTTTTGAATCAATTTATCTAACAGTTTCAATACAGTTTTAATTCTGTTGGCTTCAGCTATCTCTGGGGTTCATCTTTTATTGTTGTTGGTGATTTTCTGGTTTAGAGCATCGAAAGCCTCCGTATAAAAATTGAATTGTATCCGTTTTCAATCCGGAAGTTATGTGATTGTGAATTTAATATATATTAACTTTACTTTGTTAATGAATCTTCAATAATTTATGGAACAGAGACCAAAGATGCAGTGGTTTTTGGGTTCACAGTGCTTACCCACTCTATCCAGTAGTTTGCTTGTATGCGTTTGAAAGCGTCAATACGGTTGATGAAAATATTGAACTTAGTTTACTTTTCTTAGTGGATTACCGCCAATAGTTCCCACCAATAAGACAGGGCACTTGAGCTCTGTCAATATGCAGTGGGAAAAAACTTACATACCCTAATTAGATGTTATTCTAGTTTACTTTGAGTCGTTGATGATAGTCTCCCCACCCCCTGGCACATTGAGCTCTTGTGTCTGTACTTTAAGAATGGTAGATATTATGTTCTTAATAGTTGTCATGACTATTGAATGATTAGAATTCCTTTTGAGTCCAACTATATTAATTAGAACTAGCAGTAAGTCACCCAAATAATGGGTTTCATGAGTTGCTTTTGTTTGCTTGATATGTTTTTTCTTTGCATGTTTGTGTGTTAGGGTTGGGGTTGTGGTGGTGGGTGGGGCCCTGTTTTTTTTTTTTGGAAGGTGGAAGGTGGGGGGGGAACTGGTTACTTTTAGCTGTTTCTTATAATCTGATATCTATCTTCCCCCCTTGCTAATGAATACTAATGTGCTTTACAGGCCCATCCTGTCCTTACTACACTATTCATCATTTGAGGACTTAGACACCTCAGGTCTTAGATCCTTAAGTTGTAGGATTTATGAATGGAAGGCTTCAGTTTTACTGCGTCTATTTGATGAAATGCAGGCCATTTTGTAGAACAGATACCTGAAGTCACATTTCATTTTCCACTTTTTTTCTTCGTTAAATATTTGACACAGATCATTTGGGTTATATCTCTCGGACATAATCCTCCTTTGCCCTTAAGCTCAATTGTCTACATGTATGGCTTATTGCTCCGTCTGATTTAATTTTTCACAAGTATCACTAGCATCTCATTGGTGCTACATTTTTTCCAGGAAAAAAAGAACTATGAATCGGCAATGGAAATCATTTCTTCTATTTTGAAGTGGTGAGAAAAAATATAAAGAGTTGATTACAATTTTCATTTTTTTTCTTTTCCTTTTGTTTTTTAAAAGGTAATCATGTTCAATTTCCTTCTCCATTGACTATTATATCTGAGATTCCCGTGTTCTTTTCACTTAGGAACTCAGGCAATGTGGTACATGCTTCTGACATACATCCTTCAGAATCAGGGAATCTAAAATTGCAGTTCTTGGGCAGTATCTCTCCACAGGTGTTCACTGGAATTCCTATTGCAAGAAAGGAAAACAGCTTACAGGTAGCTTTACTTGATGCTATTACTGGGGAAGTTGTTACATCTGGGCCAGAAGCCTCAGCAAAGGTGGAAATTGTTGTGATTGATGGAGGTTTTGGTGTCGATGAAGGGGGAGGTTGGACTCTCGAAGAGTTCAACAGTAAAATTGTCAGCGGAATGGAAGGAAAAAAATCACTGCTAGGTGGAAAACGATATCTGCATTTGAAAGATGGCATCGGTTCAGTTCATAAGATTTACTTCAAACATACTAACGTCTGGAGGAGAAGGGGCGAATATAGGCTATGGGCAAGAGTCGTGGATCATTCTAACGGAAGAAGAATAATTGTGGCAAAGACAGAACCCTTCACTGTTAAGGATCGCCGTGGAAGTAACTATTTTTCTATTTTCTTGCTTGTGATTGCTAATAGCTGACCTATTCAATTCCATCTTGCTTCTTGATTGCATCTGGGGAAACAAACTTACTAGGGTAAATCTGGAAAAAGTTTGTGAACATATATGGTGTAGTGCTAGGTAAGCCTATATTTAATATGCAATGAGGTGATTAATCATGTCTCAGGCTACCCTTATGGTCGGTCAGTCGTATGAGTTTTAGTGCTGCATACTGCATGGATATAGTGATTGTAACTGAGAATACATGTTTTTATGGTTTTAAGCATTAGTATTGTCATTTGAACTTTTAAAAGGTGTGGATATGTTTTCTTTTAGATTATTGAATAACTAATCGTCTAGATACAGTATTTTGGAGAAGACTTTGTTACCTGGCGACCATTTCTTATCCTGTTCTTTTAAAAGTATTTTACAATTTTTTCCTTTTAGATTGTATACAAGTTTTCCTCATCTTTTAATATATTTTGTAGATTGCTGAAGTTCTAGTGTGATTGCANACAGTATTTTGGAGAAGACTTTGTTACCTGGCGACCATTTCTTATCCTGTTCTTCTTTTAAAAGTATTTTACAATTTTTTCGTTTTAGATTATATACGAGTTTTCCTCATCTTTTAATATATTTTGTAGATTGCTGAAGTTCTAGTGTGATTGCAACGCAATTTATCATGGTTGACTCCATTAAATTAGATGCAAGTTTCATTAAATGTATGTTTCTTATGCCTTCTTATAAAAATTTGGTGGATTCTTTGTTGTTTTTTTTCTTTTGGGGGTGGGGGGTGGATTCTATTATAGCAAATGGTTTTAGTGTAGTTTTATTCTTTTGTGTAGTGTAGAACTAGGAAGATGTGTTGACGTTGAAAGCAAAATGTTGAAATTTGGACTGAAACTTGATGGGATCACATGAAGTGCTAGTGAATCGTAGAATGTCATTCACGTGTCAACTAAAATCCAAGTAAGATAGGATTATAAAACAAAATATGTATGCATGACTAATATCCACTTCACTATTCCAACCCATTTATATGATGTTAAGAAGGAACTTACCTTTTACAGACACTTTGAAAAAGAAAGGACTCATCGAATCTTACATTGGCACAGTTGTGGATATTATTGGAACATGTTGATACTTGATTGAGGTAGTTGCCCTTCTAAAACTCCATGTTATGTACAGTGTGTTTCTTTTCAGAGGAGGGATTTTTTTTTGGATTTGGGACTTTATCTGAATGACTTTAATAATGCGCTTGATTTTTCTAAAATTTGCATAATTTGTTTATCTTGTCTAACATTTCTTGCGTAGATTAGGAAACTATGAACAGAAAGACACACAGAGAAGGTTATATCATTACTACTGTCATCTGAATAACTTTCCAAATTGACAAATTGAATGAAACACCGACATAACTTCTGGTTGCTGTTTGCAGTGAACAAAAAACATTACCCCCCATCTCCATCAGATGAAGTATGGCGACTAAAAAATATTAGGAAAGGTGGTCCTTTCCACAAGCATTTGAGCGAAGAAAACATCAACACTGTGGAGGATTTTTTAACCCAATATTCTTTGAACCGTGACAGACTACAAGAAGTAAGAATTCATTGCTCTTTCTTCATATATTTACCTTAGGATTAAGATTACTAGCTAATTGTAGGTGAACTTGTTTTGTGAAGGCATTACATTCTATTTATAAGAAATGTTACCTTTCTAAAGGTTGAGTATGCTGAAATTTGTTCTTCTTTTCTATCTCGTTCTTGGGGTTTTTCGGTTTTTTTTGTTTCTTTTGTTGGGGGGATAAGTTTTGAACCAATCCTAACATTACCCCACTTTTTTTCTCCAAATATGACTATGATGACTCTGATGCAAAATTCCATTCGATAATTTTGCACATCTCCTTTGTTTAGAACATAGAAAATATAAGTTTGCAGTCTGTTACTTAAGATAATTGATTGAAAAGGGACTTTAGTGTGAACTATGATCTGATTTGCTTTTTTCAGTTGCAAGATCTGAGCATATTTCTGTTAAGCAACAGTGTCCTGAAATTAAAACGCCCAAAGTATACTAGTTGACCTTCTGTCGGCATCGATATACTTACATCTAAACTCAAATTTTCTGTGGTTCCTGATGTGAGCACCTAATGTTCCTGCTAGACACCTATGCAATTCTGTTCTTGGTATATAGAATTGTATGAAGGATTCCGTGCTCATAAAAAATTAGAGGTGCAGACCAAGGGCCATTATGAAACCGAAATTATAGTAAAGTTCAGGCTTTCTATGTAGGTACATTAGTCTAAAATGACATTTGTGATTGAATGTTGGTTTATACGTGAACAATAACATCTGGTTGTTTAAAGCCTTGAATAGAGGCGATTCATCTCTGACAAAGAATAAGCTATTTCACTTCATGAAAGTAATGGCAGGAATTGTTTGTTTGTTTGTACCTCTACAGATCCTTGGCAAGAGTATGTCTGGTAAGAAGTGGGAGGACACTGTGAACCATGCTCAGACATCTAAACATTGTACTTCTCTTGTCCATCACTCTTTGCCCTCATCTGACGGTCTTTACACCAAGAACTTCGACAACCCGGATTGCTCCAATGTATACAACTTTGGGACTTCTGACATGCATGGTAGTTATAATCCTACACTACCTGGTACATCATTTCAAGGTATCATTTCATCCAGACTTCCCAGTTCGCCTACAAGTACTCTGGAGGAACATGGATTGCAGAAAAATAGCAATATAGATCATATCTATGACCAATCTTCCAGTGTCCCAGGCAATGGCTACAACTCCCCGCTCTGCGACCTAGGGCCTCTTTTATCTGATGGGGACATAGAAAACTGGCTGCCTTTTGGGAATTGTGATCGAACCTGTCCTCGAGAACCATGGTTTGGAATCAGTTGCTAATCAACAGAGTGCCGTCCATGCTGTAGCTGTTACTAGTGGTTAGCCCCGGCAGAGATGGTTGTTCCTGATGAGAAAGCTTGTCAGTTCGAAAAAGAACAATGTTGCTAAAAAGCCGAGACATTACTAATGTGATTGTCACGCCTCCACCCCGGATCACATAGGGTGAGCAGCGGATCGGCCACCAAGGCCTTAACCAACTATTTTTGTGCATAATTAATGTAAAATACAGTAGAAGACAAATAATTAAGTGATCTTTTTCACCGACCTAATGAATACCAGAGAAATAAATTAACATCACCGAAATTATTACTAAACTCATGTAAAACAATAATTAATCCTTAAGGTTCACTATTCTAAACAAAAATAATATTGTTCTCAAAACAATCGAATATTTGTCTCAAAACTATAAAAAAATATTTATTCCTGAAGACCTACAATAAAATAAATCTTCGATTCTTCTAATTCCTTGTCTATCCGAGGATTTACTCCTTCTCCTGATCCTCACCTAAAAATGTTAAATATTTGGATGAGCACAAAGGCCCGTGAGTAGCAACCACCTCTAATGAAGTTTGAAAATAAATCTCACATTTCATATACACAGAAATAAACTTTGTTATATACATCAATACAATAAATTGTACCACAATCTCTTTTACATAACCATGTAAACAAAATGATCTCATGAGCATAATAATTTTATAAAAGAAAAGACATTTATAGCTCAAAACACTCACACACACATTCAATCTTAAATAAACTTGTCAAATCATGTTTATTCTACTAGCCTGGTAATTGGTCTCATCTCTTGTCATCACTAGCCTGATGACTGACTCCGTCTTTTGTTATCACTAGCCTGATAACTGGCTCCTATATGTACATCTATATACTGACCACGCTGACATACAATCTCGTTACCATTTAGACCTGGTAACCTAGTCCCCTTCTCATAAAACATAATTTCAACACACACACTAAAACTGTTGTTTTAGTCTCATCGCACACAAAATTTCTCTTTCATCACTAAAACCATTTAAACAATAATATAAAATTATCTCATAACTTTTGCAAATTCACATGTGTAACAATTCACCATTGTAAAAAAATATTTAATTACAACCTCAAACATCAACATATATCATATATATGAAAAATTTACACACACGCAACAAAAAGTTTAATATAAAAAATCCTCCCAAAAAAGAAGTAATAAACTACTCACCTTGATTTTCAAAATTCAATTCAAAATAATTTTTTTCAACCTCAATGCAATCACCACCTAATTCAAAATAATATGCAACGATCAATCCCTATTTTTAACTTCGTCATTTCGTGATTCTATATTTAATTTACGTACTTTCTACTATTTGATATATACTTAATATATTTTTTACATATAAACATCTTTTCTAGTACGAGGGAATAAGATATGGAAGTATTCTAGGCTTTTTAGAAAAAAATTTAAAATTTTGGGGTCAAATTATAATTATTAAAACTTTTGGGGTCAAAATGTAATTTCCTTAAAAACGAATTTTCTATCTTCGGGGCTGCCATAAATTTTTCAGAATTCTGTTCTTACAATTTACGAAGTAAAAAAGTACTTAAAATTAAGTTCAAAAGAATAAAGAGGTCAAAATAAAACTCTTTCAAATTAAAGGGGAGCTTTCTATAATTTCTGAATTGGTCTTCTTCTACCTACGGTCATCCAGGTTGTTTGTTGTTTGTTCTGTCACAACAATTCCAAACCCTTTTCTTTTCTTTTCTTTTTCAACCTATTGATTAGCCAACTATAAACCTAAATTCAATCTAATAAATTTCAATAATAATAACCATGAAACTCATTCTGTATATGTGTATGTATACATATTACGCAATATCATTATCATCAACCTAATATCATGTGAATGAATAAACTATAAAACCTATAAAATAAATAATAAACTCACATTTAAAGGACTTAATCCACTTGTCTTTTTCCTCCTTCTTTCTTTTCTCTCTCTTTTCCTTTTTCACATTTTTTTCTTCTTTGTTCATAGGACAGCCTCCTCCATAAGTCTTCTCACTAAAAGACCCTACAACCTAAATATATTTTTATATATATAAGGGTTTAACCTATCCAACAATATTACCTTATTTAAACTACATGTATAAGAGTCCTAATAGGCCTTTAAGTAAGACTTTTTATTAGAGATATATTAGTCTTTTTTTTAAATTATTTTTATCCTTATATATATATAATTACTCCTAGGTAGCCAATGCACCAAAATAATATAATAATTTTTNCTAAGTAAGACTTTTTATTAGAGATATATTAGTCTTTTTTTTAAATTATTTTTATCCTTATATATATATATATATATAATTACTCCTAGGTAGCCAATGCACCAAAATAATATAATAAATTTTTTTTTATGGGTAATTACAGTGATTGTCCAGAATGGTTCGATCATATCCCATGTAGAGTGCAAGCAATTGCTTCCCAATCATAGCTTGTGTGAAGGTTGGACAAATTGGAGCTTTTTTCAGATGCCACACAAAGTGTAAGTAATAAATGTGTGAGGCATAGTTCTGTTAACTGGACTTTCATGTTTGTTTTTCATTTTGTCTTTATATTGTCAAATGCCTTTTATTTTTGTTTTTGCATTAGATTGTCAAATCAAATGTCTTTTATTTCCCCTACATAAGTTGATGTATTAGTTAAAGTTGGAACGTGAAACAATGAATCATATGTTTGTTGGAGATTCGATATCAAACTGATGGAAACCAAAGCAAGAATCTTGNGAACGTGAAACAATGAATCATATGTTCGTCTTTCATATGTTTGTTGGAGATTCGATATCAAACTGATGGAAACCAAAGCAAGAATCTTGAAGGGAGCATATACGATTTGATATATTGAATGCAGGAATATAAACGTATAATCTTTGTAGCTTTTATACCCTCTAAACAGGCAAAATCACCGTGAACTGGAATAGTATTGTTGAGTATACAAGTTTGAATTTTGGGGGCAACAAGGGTAATGGACAGAGGCACTCTCGAGCTTCCCATATTGTGATTCTACATAATAACTGATATCATGGTCAAGCTTGAAAGTGCAAGGTTCATCTCTACTTGGCAAAGTAGATGACTAATAGACTCTGCATAATAACCAAGACCCTTTACAGTACAGAGTGCTCACCCATTACACTATGGAGTTCTTTGTACGCTTTGCCATTCAAACACACATACACAGACAAAATGAACATTCACATCCCAAACAGCACTTCTATGCTTTCAATGAGCTATATGTTACCTCTAAAAGTCTACATTTTTTTTTATAATTCGGCCTTCCACCTTATTTACTTTGTCAACCACAAACCTACAACAAAATTCCCAGGCACCTAATTGTTTTTGTGCAAAAAATAAAAATAAAAAATTATATCATACCAAAAGTTACCAGTTTTTAATGTCAAGTTACATATTATAAGGTGATTTTTTTTTTTTTGGCTCTTGAAAAAAAAAAACGGGGGAGGCAAAAGAAAACGACTAAAGACTATCTCGATAGGTCTTTACTAGTAGGATTATGAGGCTCCTGACCGCGCTTGTTACTTTTTTTGGGAATGAACCTAGTTAGGCTAATATAGTTATCAAACATTGAGCCTCATTAGACTCCAAAACTTAAACTTCCAACCTTAAGATGAGAAGTTCAGTGGGTACCCCACTTGGTGATTTTTAAAAGTAAAATTATAATTGTTTGAGGTAATTTTATAATTCATTATTAATATCTCAGTTCAGTTGTAACTTTATTTTTAAAAAGTATAATTTTACCTCAAAAAATAATTATTTTATCCTAAAGGCTGTAATTTCATCAACTTTTCCAATTATAATTTCTATGTCAAAAAAATATAATTAAATCTCAAAAAATATTATTTTAGTACGACATCAAAATCAATAGTGACACCGTGGTCTTCCTCTAGCTAGAAACAGAGAAAGGGGTGTTTTTTTTTTTTTTGAGAAAATTTCAACCACACATCTCTTAATTTATTATATCTTTAAAAACACCCCTTTTATTATCAAAAACATCATTAACATATCTTCTAATTTATATTTAAACATCACTGACACTCTGCTATTAAACCACCATTTTTAACAAAAAAACATTCATCCAAAACACCAAAAATGTCTCTACATAAATCTCCAACAATTTTTCTACATATTAAAATTTAAGTAGATTAAAATTCAATTTGAGCTGATTAAATTTTATTTTTTTAAGTATTAAAATTCAAACCGATTTGAGAGCTACCTGAACTGTTAACACCGATTAAAATTCGTTTCGAGTCAATTAAAATTTATATATTTTTATTTATTAAAATTCATGTCAATTAAAATTCGATTTAAGTTAATTAAAATTTATTTTTTACGTATTAAAATTTGAATATTTTTTGCATCAAAATTCGGACCGATTAAAATTCAATACGAGTTGATTAAAATTTAATTTGAGTTGATAAAACATGATTAATTTTTAATTGACTCGAATTTTAATAAGTAAAAAATAAAATTTAATTAACTCGAATCGAATTTTAATAAGTAAAAAAGATATTTTATTTGACTCGAATCGAATTTTAATACATAAAAAAAAATTATTTGGCTCAAATTGAATTTTAATACATAAAAAATAAATTTTACTTAGCTCAAATTAAATTTTAATTGACCCAAGTTTTAATACATAAAATAATTTAGAAAACAAAAGAGATCTCATTAAAGATATAGCAATCTAAAAGAAATGTGGATGAAATTTTTTCTTAAATATATCGTAAGTAATTTAATTACAATCCAACGCTCTATTTTAATTATATAAAATATATTTAAATATTATATTTTTTATTTTTAAAAAAAAAAGCCATTTTTATAAGTTCATTTTAATTACGTTCTCTATTTTAACAAATTAATTCAACTAATTTTTAATAATTTAAATTAAAAATATTACGATAGCCTACCATGTCATTGCCTTATTTTTAATAGTCAAATTTTAATGGTCATATTTAGCCAAAAAAAAAGAAAAAAGAGAGATCAATTTTAGGTTCTGCTTGTCAAATTATCTTGGAATTTTAATGAATCAATGAAATAGCAACAGGAAGAGCCAAAACAGAAAAGTTGAAGAATAAAAACTGGTAAAATGACAAAAGAGAAAGCNGAAAGCAAGGCCATTGGCCCTGGACGACCTCCGACGAGGTTTGTCTAGACGGAGGAAGGGGGATGAATCCGAGGAGGACT